TCTATCTCATATATTGGTTTCACCTTTTGAGTTGCCTTACTGACATAAATGAATATTTGCATGATATTCTAATTTTTCGAGTTTCACCTGTAGACTTTATGTAAATAAGCAGAAGTAGTCAATCTGCATTCTCAGGATTATAAATGGCCCTGAAATCCCTTCTGAATACTGTTAAAGTGGAAGAGTGAAAAAACTCTCTTCTTCCCCAGTGGAAAGACTGGAGGCCTGCTCTCTTCCTTGTGGGAAACTAGGAAAGGCGGCGGTATCCAGCGCAGTGGGGGCAGGAGAGATGATCCACGTGAAATAAACTTAGTAAACAAATTGCTAATGGAAAAAGCAAAGGTTGGGAGAGAAAAAGCTGCAGAGGTGGCTAATAAGTGCTACTCTATCTCTGCATTTCTCAACCAACCCTATCTGCAATCCCACTCTAACAGGTCAGCTGGTCACCTATTGTAATGAGTGGGGAAGTATAACAGATTTTGCACACTTTAAAGCTATTATTTATGTTGGAATAAGAGAGAAGATGTTACTTTTACACAGCTATAGCTAATGACAGCGTCAGGTTATGTGGTGGCCTGGGGATGAGGTGACTTTAAAGGCACTGCCATGGGATCAAGGGGAGAAACTGAGTATGGGCAGGGCAGGCCAGGACAACACTGTGGCTAAGTGTAAATTATATACAGAGATGTAAACATGTTTCTGTTTTACTGATGCGCTGCCTTTCCTACTTTGATTGCTTTTGTGGCAATTTTAATTTTACATTTTGCAAAAAAATCCAGTTTTTCCATGGAGCATCTTGAAGGCAGCACTGGTGGCAACAGTGGCCCACGGAGAGACGCAGTGGCTTTTGGGGTGGGCTGATGTTGGGTGAATAGCCACTTTCTCCTGAGGACCCCCTTGCTTTAGTCCAGGTCTGGGTTAAAGCAGAGCAGCGTGCTCCTCAAGGCCAGAGCTTGGGATCTTACAGCTATTGCAGGAGGAGGGGGAGATACTCGCGCACATTCCAACTGACGCACGGGGGAGTTACCGCTTCCGCTGTGTGGTTTTTTTTAAAGACTGAAAGCAAAATCCCTTACTAGGGGAGAGAAAGAGAGAAATCTCAACCACTCTCCCACCTCTCTTCCCATCCCTTCAGCTCCCATGCAGCTTCAGAAACGGCATTTGCGCTGCCTCCGCGGCCGCGTTTCAAACCAAGGGCTTAAGCGTGGAATTGCGGATCCCGGGCGGGGAGAGCTGAGGGGCGTGGAGGCTTGGCTACAAGGTGGGAAGGGCTGAATCCGCCCGGGCACAAGGAACTTTGCAGAAGCCGGCGGCGAAGCCGCGCTCAGCGCTCTCAGCACCTCAGAAGCCGCTGAGCTTGGGAATAATCGGCCCGGTTGCCCTTGAAGAGTTGCTGGGTCCCCAATCTCAGGAACGGCCAGGATTTTGTCTGTCTGTCTTTCATGATTTCTTGATATTGCCCGAATGGCATCCGCAGGAAGGCGATTTCGCACCATGGAATCCGAGGCACCCGCTCTGTCCTCGGCGGGACCACGCTAAGGCGGCGGAATTAAAGCCAGCCCCCACTTCCCCTCAAGTCCGCGTTGGAAGGATCGCGCAGAGCCGCTCAGCGGGCCCGCGCCTTGGATTGGCTTCCCCCGCGGAGACGCCTTCTCGCGCTCGCGCGCCTGGATTCCGGCGTCTAAAATCCGGCGGAGTTTCGGAGACCGAGCCTCTCAGTTCGTCAAGCGGCGCGGGCGCTGCCAGCGCTGGGCACGTGCTTGCTTTCATTCCGAGGGCAGCTGCCCGGGACCGCGCCTGCCTGCCGCCTTCCCCCTCCACGTGCTGCCAGACCCAGGGACTGGGCAGCCCTCTCCCCGTCTCGTGGACTTGGTTGTACGCCCGGTACTTCTCCTCCTCCTCCTCCTTCTC